TTTGGAACTTGTCGTGAAAATTTCGTGGCAGGCGTACTTTGGCGCCTGGGTGTAGATTTTGTGGCAGGCACGTCACTTTGACAGCGAGATCGCTCTCGCTGTGGCGCGGTGCGCATTTTGAGAACGCGACGCGACCCTTCTGCGCACTTTGGGTGAGCCGAATCGCTCTCGCTGTGGCGCGCATTTTGAGTGCGCCTGGGTGTAGATTTCGTGGCAAACAGGTCACTTTGACTCAGCGAGATCGCTCTCGCTGTGGCGCACATTTGGCAAACGCGAAGCGAACGCTTTGCGCACTTTGGGTGGGCCAAATCGCTATCGCGGTGCGCATTTTGCGAACGGGCAGCGAACCCTCTGCGCACTTTGGGTGGGTCAAATCGCTCTCGCTGTGGCGCGGTGCGCATATTGGCATGCGAAGCGAACCCTCTGCGCACTTTGGGTGGGTCAAATCGCGTGCGGTGCCCATTTTGAGCATGCGAAGTGAACCCTGTGCGCGCACTGGGTGGGTCGAATCGCTCTCGCTGTGGCGCGGTGCGCTTTTTGAGCGCGCAAAGTGAACCCTCTGCGGTGTTTGGGTGGGTCGAATCGCTCTCGCTGTGGCGCGGTGCGCATTTGGAGACAGAAGTGTCGTTCGGAAGTGTCGATCGCAAGTGTCCATTAGAAGTGTCGTTCAGAAGTGTCGATCAAAAGTGTCGCTCAGAAGTATCGGTCAGAAGTGTCTGCTGGGAAGTGTCGATCAGAAGTGTTGCTCAGAAGTGTCGATCAGAAGTGTCGATCAGAAGTGTCGAACAGAAGTGTTGCTCAGAAGTGTTGCTCGAAATGTTGTCAGAAGTGTGGATCAGAAGTGTTGCTCAGAACTAGAACTGGATCAGATCAGAAGTGTGGATCAGACGTGTAGCTCAGAAGTGTCAATCAGAAGTGTGGTTCAGAAGTATCGCTCAAAAGTTTGGCTCAGAAGTGTCAGTCAGTGTTGCTCAGGAGTGTCGCTCAGAAGTGTCGGACGGAACTGCGGAAGTTTCGATCAGATGTGTGCTCAAGGGGTGTTGTGGATCAGAAGTGTTGACCAGAAGTGCCGATCAGAAGTGTCGACCAGAAGTGTTGCTCAGAAGTGTCGATGAGCAGTGTGGATCAGAAGTGTTGATCGTTGCTCCTTCGGAAGTGTTGCGCAGAAGCGTCGCTCTGAAGTATCGATCAGAAGTGTGGATTAGAAGCATCGATCAGAAGTGTTGATGGGCACTGTGGATCAGAAGTGTTGACCAGATGCTCAGAACTGTCGATCAGAAGTGTCGCTCAGAAAAGTCGATCAAAAGTGTCGCTCAAAAGTTTGGCTCAGAAGTGTCAGTCAGTGTTGCTCAGGAGTGTCGCTCAGAAGTGTCGAACGGAACTGCGGAAGTTTCGATCAGATGTGTGCTCAAGGGGTGTTGTGGATCAGAAGTGTTGACCAGAAGTGCCGATCAGAAGTGTCGACCAGAAGTGTTGCTCAGAAGTGTCGATGAGCAGTGTGGATCAGAAGTGTTGATCGTTGCTCCTTCGGAAGTGTTGCGCAGAAGCGTCGCTCTGAAGTATCGATCAGAAGTGTGGATTAGAAGCATCGATCAGAAGTGTTGATGGGCACTGTGGATCAGAAGTGTTGACCAGATGCTCAGAACTGTCGATCAGAAGTGTCGTTCAGAAAAGTCGATCAAAAGTGTCGCTCAAAAGTGTGGATCAGAAGTGTTGCTCGGAAGTGTCGCGCAGAAGTGTCAGCCTGAAATGTTGCTCAGCAGTGTCGCTCAGAACTGTCAATTCAGCAGTGTTGCTCAGAAGTTTCGCTCAGAAGCGTTGATGGGCAGTGTGGATCAGAAGTGTCGCTCAGAAGTGTAACTCCGAAGTGTAGATCAGAAGTCTTGCTCAAAGGTGTTGCTCGGAAGTTTTTTTTGGTTGTTTCTCAGAAGTGTCGCTCAGAAGTGTTGCTCGGAAGTGTTTGACTGAAATGTCGCTCAGAAGTGTCGATCAGAAGTGTGGGTCGGAAGTGCTGCTCAGAAGTGTTGATGAGAAGGGTTCGTCAAAAGTGTCGATCAGAAGTGCTGCTCAGAAGTGTCTCTCAGAAGTGTCAATTCAGCAGTGTTGCTCAGGAGTGTCGTTCACAAGTGTCGATGAGCAGTGTGGATCAGAAGTGTTGGTCAGAATTGTTGCTCAGAACTGTCGATGAGAAGTCTGGATCAGAAGTGTTGCTCATCAGTGTCAATCAGAAGTGTGGTTCAGCAGTGTTGCTCAAACTGTCGATCAGAAGTGTCAATCAGAAGTGCAGAAGTGTTGCTCAGAAGTGTCGATCAGAAGAAGTGTGGTTCAGAAGTGTTGATCAGGTGTCGCTCAAAAGTGTCGCTCAGAAGTGTCAATGAGAAGTGTGTGTCGGAAGTGTTGCTCAGAAGTGTTGATGAGAAGGGTTCCTCAAAAGTGTTTGTCAGAAGTGTCGATCAGAAGTGTTGCTCAGAAGTGTCGCTCAGAAGTATCAACACAGCAGTGTTGCTCAGAAGTGTCGTTCAGAAGTGTCGATGAGCAGTGTGGATCAGAAGTGTTGGTCAGAAGTGTTGGTCAGAAGTGTTTCTCAGAACTGTCGATGAGAAGTGTGGATCAGAAGTGTTGCTCATCAGTGTCAATCAGAAGTGTGGTTCAGCTGTGTTGCTCAAACTGTGAATCAGAAGTGTCAATCGGAAGTGCGGATCAAAAGTATTGCTCAGAAGTGTCGATCAGAAGTGTTGCTCAGAAATGTCGATCAGAAAAAGTGTTGCTCAGAAGTGTTGCTCAGAAGTGTCGATGAGAAAAAGTGTGGTTCAGAAGTGTTGATCAGGTGTCGCTCAAAAGTGTCGCTCAGAAGTGTCAATCAGAAGTGTTTCTCAGAAAAGTCGATTAGAAAAAGTGTCGCTCAGAAGTGTTGCTCAGAAGTGTCGATCAGAAAAAGAGTGGTTCAGAAGTGTTGGTCAGGTGTCGCTCAAAAGTGTCGCTCAGAAGTGTCAATCAGAAGTGTTGCTCAGAAAAGTCGATCAGAAAAGTGTCGCTCAGAAGTGTCGCTCAGAAGTGTCGATCAGAAAAAGTGTGGTTCAGAAGTGTTGATCAGGTGTCGCTCAAAAGTGTCGCTCAGAAGTGTCAATGAGAAGTGTGGGTCGGAAGTGTTGCTCAGAAGTGTTGATGAGAAGGGTTCCTCAAAAGTGTTTGTCAGAAGTGTCGATCAAGAAGTGTGTTGCTCAGAAGTGTCGCTCAGAAGTGTCAATTCAGCAGTGTTGCTCAGAAGTGTCGTTCACAAGTGTCGATGAGCAGTGTGGGTCAGAAGTGTTGGTCAGAAGTGTTGGTCAGAAGTGTTGCTCAGAACCTTCGATGAGAAGTGTGGATCAGAAGCGTTGCTCAAACGGTCAAGCAGAAGTGTCAATCGGAAGTGCGGATCAAAAGTGTTGCTCAGAAGTCTCGATCAGAAGTGTTGCTCAGAAAAGTCGATCAGAAAAAATGTCGCTCAGAAGTGTTGCTCAGAAGTGTCGATGAGAAAAAGTGTGGTTCAGAAGTGTTGATCAGGTGTCGCTCAAAAGTGTCGCTCAGAAGTGTCAATCAGAAGTTGTGCTCAGACGTCAGAAGTCTAGTACGCTCTGGAAAATCGCAAAAAAAGTACAGGTTTCTGGACAATCACAGCTTTGAAGTGCAAGTCTAGTGCACGAAGTACAGGTTTCCACTTCTTGAACTGGGCCCACTTGCACCTGTCCGCCAGTTGTGAAGAGCAACCCAGATGCTGGAGCCTGGATGCAGTGCAGTAGGATCTTGTCCGAAGTAGCAACCGCAAACAACCCAGACATGGAACTGCAGGAACTGGGTGCCCAGCATGTATGCCTCCTGCGCATTGCCTTCAGTTTTTTGGCAATGATGGCAGCAAAGCTTTCACATATGCCCTGCTGGCACCATCCCCGCGTCGAACTTGTTGCGTCACATGGTTTGTAAGTCCCAGCTGCTTTGGGTTCCCCTAGTTTGCCAAATGCATTTGAACAATTCTTGCAGTGGTTCCAGCCACAAGGCAAAGCACTATTTACTTTGAGACAGGCTAGTACCCGTTTAGTAAGCATTTTTTCAGATCAACTACTTTCCGACTGAACAGACTTGGGGACCCCATTCTTCCGAATGATTTCTGGAAGGGTGCGCTGGCTTGTGGCGTGCACAATCTCGCGCCCGCCGCGACATAATTGCCGAGCGAAGTGGTCCGGAGGTTTTATAGAGTGCAACCCCAGGCCTGAGTTGGGTGGTACAGTAGCTGGCATTGACCCCAGAACGAGTGAAGCATGTCATTAAACTCTCAGAGGCCCCTTGCACAATGCAAGGCGGCTCCTTGGGCCTGCGAACTTTGCGCGCGCGCGACAGTAGCCCAGTTCCACTGCACCGGTTCCACTCATGCCAGGATGCGGTCAAGCCTGAGGTTGGAATAGTGCTGTCAATCTTTACAAATCGATCTCCCGAAAAGGATGGCGAGAACAGCAGCTTCCCTTCCAAAGCGCATGCTCTTTCAGAGGCCGACCGGCTTTGCAACAAGCTGAGAAAACGAGCTAAACTGCCAAGACAGACATCCCGGTGACAAGGGCTTGTAGCGAGGTGAACTACCATGTAAGATCCGGAACTTCAAAGATCAGCCGGATGAGAGAAAACACCTACCTTGAAATCCAGCTTGAGAAAGGTAAAGTCTCAGCTCTTCGACGCTTTTCACGCTGCTTACATTGTAATGAGAGCTGCTGGCGCGTCTTCTTCTGTAGCGAATGTTGCCTCCGAAGAATTTGTTCGAACATTTCGGATGCGACATTGTCTGGAGACATTCATAATGTGAGGAGTTTGCCGTCTCTTCTGCCACGCGCCTCCCTTTTTCCTCTTGCTGAACGGCAGTGTGGACATGTCGGAAGCTTTGGCGCTCAGTTGGAAGTGGGGCGGACTTGCAAGACTTGGGAAGACAAGAGAGGAAAATAGGCAAACTTTGATTTGGAGGCATGGCTCGAGCACCTGGAGAGCGCTTCCCGCGGGCCATGTGAGCACGAGATGTGCGAGCCTGCCGGCGTGGCAGATGGCGTGGAGCCTGAAGAGGAGCAGAAGGCCGGCAACTCGAGCGGCCTTGTAGCCCAGTGTTCGGAATCGGGAGGGTCAGGCCATGCATTTTGTTTTGTTGAGAGTGTGAATGATCAAACCTCGCAACGTACGTGCAACACGGAAGGCAGACGTGCCATGACGCACTCAGGAGCAAGGTGAAGCGCCAGATCAAGCTGATGGGGCCCGCGAGGCTTTGAAGGCCTTCAAGAGGAAACTGGAGGCTGCCAGGGTCACTGCCAGGGTCCTTCAAAACGTTGCGCTGCGTGCTGTCGCAGGAGAGCTTGAAAGCAGACTCCTCACGAGTCAGCCAGAAGGAGCGAGCATGCGCGCTTTTGATTGGGCGCGCGATTCGCGCTGCGCAGGAGAGCTTAAGAGCTGGCATTATTCCATCGTCAGGGGGGCGAGCAAAGCGAAAGGCGGCAGCAGCTGCTGATGAACGGGTGAGGGAGCAGCTGGCCATGGAGAGGGGCTTGATCAAAAGCAGAAAGGCGAGGTGGCGAGGGACCGAAAGCCATACCAGCCTGGCATAGCCTTGAGCTTTGAGTTTTCGAGCGCTTGATTGCCTGTTTTTTTCTTGCCAGGGTTGGCTTGAGAGAAGAAGAGAACTGAGAAAGAGAGAAAGAGAGACAGAGAGACACAGAGAGAAAAAGAGACAGAGAGACAGAGAGACAGAGAGACACAGAGAGACAGAGAGACAGAGAGACAGAGAGACAGAGAGACACAGAGAGACAGAGAGACAGAGAGACAGAGAGACAGAGAGACACAGAGAGACAGAGAGACAGAGAGACAGAGAGACAGAGAGACAGAGAGACAGAGAGACACAGAGAGAGAGACAGAGAGACAGAGAGACAGAGAGACAGAGAGACAGAGAGACAGAGAGACAGAGAGACAGAGAGACAGAGAGACACAGAGAGACAGAGAGACAGAGAGACAGAGAGACAGAGAGACAGAGAGACAGAGAGATCAGAGAGACAGAGAGACAGAGAGACAGAGGAGACAGAGAGACAGAGAGACAGAGAGACAGAGAGACAGAGAGACAGAGAGACACAGAGAGACAGAGAGACAGAGAGACAGAGAGACAGAGAGACAGAGAGACAGAGAGACAGAGAGACACAGAGACAGAGAGACACAGAGAGACACAGAGAGACAGAGAGACAGAGAGAGACAGAGAGAGACTTGTCAAACTACATGCTTCACTTTGCACTTGTGTTGCATGTATGTTCACTACCGCAGGCCTTGAGCTTACTACTCCGCATGAGTCAAAAGGTTGGCAGCTGCAGACTACATCGGTTGACTGTTTGTTTGAACATTACAGCACTTGCACTGGCAAGCAAAGTAACAACCGATTTTAACGTGGTAGCGGAGCTGAGATCCTAAACATAGGGGAGCTCCAGTAAGCAGTAAGTACTACAACCACAGCAGCAGCAGTCACATGCCAAACTACTACGACATGTCAGGAGAAGCAGCATCAGCCTCAGCACAACAAACTACAGGAGCAGAGAACGGGCCAACAGCAGACACAGTAGGAGCCACGACTACGGGAGCAGGAGCAGAACAAGACAACGACGTTCAAAGGCTACACAAATACAAACTGCCACCACTCTTCTTCACTGGTGACTACTCCCAGTATGAAGAATGGCTGTTCAGCTACAAGCATACCTCGGCCTCATAGACCGAGACTTCGACCTGGTGCTACAACTAGCACAAGTGGCTACACGACAGATTGAGGACACAGACATCAGAACACACATACTCGACCCTACACAAGCAAGCAAAGCAGTAGACCTCTCCAGAGATCTACACTACATCCTCGTCAACATCTGTCAAGGAGCAGCAGCTACAGTAGTAAGGCAAAACCGCTACAACGCAAACGGATGTGAAACACTACGACTTCTACACAACAGGTTCAGCCTACCAGTAGGAACAAGGAGCGTTGGCTACCTTACCAAACTACTGGAACCTACATTCAACGAAGCGCAGTTTGAAGAACAATTCCTACAATGGGAATACGACATCAACCGCTACGAGAAAGACAACGGCACAGCACTACCAGATGGAATCAAAATAGCAATACTACTCAACAAAACCAAAGGAGCACTGCAGCAACATCTCCAACTGCGAGCTGGACAAATCACGAACTACATCGAGATCAGAGCAGTCATCCGGGACTACTACAAGACGATTTCAGCCTTCTCGAGATCGACTTCAGCAGTAGGAACGAACTACAATGGAGGAGCTGCACCAATGGATGTTGACAACATATGGAGGAAAGGAAGAAACTACAAAGGCAAAGGAAAAGGAAAAGGCAACTACAAAGGAGGCAAAAGCAAAGGTAAGTACAGGAGTAAAGGACACTACAAAGGATTCGACAAAGGCAACAAAGGAAACTACAACAAAGGAGGATACAACAAGAGCAAAGGAAAAGGCTACTCAGGATCCAAAGGATATGGATCAAGCAAAGGCTACAAAGGCCAAGGAAACTACAGCAAATCAAAAGGAAAAGGAAACAACAACTACACAACATGCCATCGATGTGGCAAGCCTGGACACTGGGCACAAGACTGCAGAGTGCCAGTATGGCACATAGGAGAAGGAGAAGAACTACATCCACTAGAACAGGAACAAGCAGATCATGACAACAATGAAGAACTACCTCAGGATGTGAACGACACCTGGGACTGGTACTACGAAGGAGAAGAAGACCAACATGAGGTGAACTACATGGAGGAGAAGTGGAACGACTACGACTATGACAACAGCTGGGATTGGAATGACAACAGCTATGAGGACACAGCAAACTAGATTGGAGGCATCAACGAGTCACACCTCACCATTGGACACATCAGACAAGCAAAATCACGACTACACAAGCACAAATCCAAATCACTACTTGGCAAGAAAACAACACACACAACATCATGGAACGACCGCAGCAAGAGCTTTCAACAATTCCTACAAGAAGACACCACAAAGCTACACTTCGACATAGCAGCAGCAAGACAACAACAAAGGAACAAGAAGATTGAGGACACTATCACCCACTACATCATGTACTCCAACTTCAAGTCATACCACCACCTGTTGATCGACTCAGGAGCATCTACACATGTTTGCCCGAAGGACTACGCACCGGATCTTCCACTACGACCTTGTGGAGAATCAGTTCCACAACTCTACACAGTTACCAACAAGAAGATTCCTGTCTACGGCATCAAGTACGTTCCCTACAAGCAGGACAACTTCAGGATTATGATACCCTACTACGTTTGTGATGTGAAGTATCCAATCCTCAGCGCATCAAGACTACTTGATAGAGGATATGGACTTGACTTCACTCCACGACACTGCACCATCACACATGGACAACAACAAGCACACCTCATAAGACACTCAGGACTTTTCTACCTACGCAGAGAAGATCGACATTCCTACAGGATTCGATCTACCCAATGACTACAGACAATGGAAAATCCATTGCTGTGATTCAACCTACAGAGAGAGCAGTACAACAACAAGAACAAATCGCACCACTCACACACACAGACCAAGGACTACGACAGATCCTTGGTGGAAACACTGACTACTGGAAACTTGATGGTGACTACGCCATCAGAGTACACAAACGACCACGCAAAGCACTATTCACACCACACAACAGCGGCTGCCCAATACCTGAAGGAGAACTAGATGATTGGCGACTAACCATCATCAACAGACAAGGGCAAGAGCAAGAACAACTACAAGAGAACCCAACACAACTTTCCAAGCAAGAACTACAACGAAGACTAGAAGGTGACAACTGGACTGGAGAAACCAGATTCAGAAGAAAGATAACACCTACACGCAGAGCAACATCAAAGACCACACCAACAAGGCAGAGCTCACAACCACAACGGCTAATGGACACACCACCAACCAGATCAAAGATCCAACTACGAGCACCACAAAAGATATGGAGACCCAAAGCAGCACCTTCTACAAATCTTGACACCACACAACCAAAGGAGACAATACACAGACCACTCACAGCACAGGAGGACAACCAAGACTACTGGGAAAGACAAGGTGAACACTGGATACGACACCACACAACGCTTAGAACAACTCTCTTCACTCCAACAGATGGACCAGGACATCCACCAATCAACACACTTGAACCTCACAGAACTACAATCACTCACAACAACTTTGGAGAAGTTTCACAACGCAAAGATGACTGGACAGTCATGGGCAACGCAGCACTACCATTTCAATGGAAAGGAACAACAAGGTTCACCGTGAAGAAAGACTACGAGTACATCCAGGAGAACCACGATGAAGAACAACAACACGAGCATCATGAAGCACACAGAGCAAGAGGACTACGACAACCACAGCAGCCCACTCCACAACAAATAGCAGAACACAACCTTACACACCTACCATACAGAAACTGGTGTCCAATTTGCGTTCAAGGCAAAGGACGCCAAGACAACTACAAGAAACAACAATCACGACAACCTGTCATTCAAGTAGACTTCGCCTACATCAAGTCACAACAAGACCCAAAGACCACACCAGTACTGACAGCAGTTGATGTTACTACACAACTGTGTATGGCAGTATTGGTTCCAGACAAATCATCAATGATGGACTACATGATCAACAACCTACAAGCATTCATCTTTGAGTGCGGAAGAACACAAGGCATACTACAAAGCGACAACGAAGACACACTCAACGCACTTCTAAAAGCTACAGCAGCAAAAGTCGGCACAATGAGTGTACGACATTCACCTTCCTACAGCAGCAACAGTCAAGGAAGCGTTGAGCGACTACACAGAACACTTCTCGGACAAATCCGCGTCGTCAAAGCTCAGGTTGAAAGCAACTACAGCATAACGATGTCCACAAAGCATTGTCTACTACCTTGGATAGTACGACATGCAGCATGGACGGTAAATCGCTACGTCATTCACTCAGATGGCTACACGAGCTTTGAACGCCGCTGGGGAAGAAACTACGAGCGAGCAATCTGCGAATTTGGCGAGACACTACTTTACCTTTCACCACAACACAAGAAACTCCCAAAAGCAGATCTACGGATGCAGAAATGCATCTGGCTCGGAAAAGTTTCCGAAACCGGAGAAAACTACGTCGCAACGGAATCAGGCGTACAAAAGGTACGAACAGTACGGAGACTACAACCTGACTTCAAATACGACCTCGCACTGTTGAACAAAGTTTCCGGCACACCATGGGCACCACGACGCAACACCTACAACCCATCATTCGCAACACTGTTGGATACGCAACTACAACCGTCAGAGAAAAGAAGGTCCACTCAAGATTTTGGACAACAGACGAATGCGACGGACGACATCGTCGCAGAACCCGCAACAAAACAACAACGCACTACACCACCTCCACGACTTCCATCTACATCGACGTCAAGTTCACGACCACTACCGGATAGTCCTATGGCTACTTCACCAACTGGACGACAACA